CCTAAACCCTAAACCCCAAATTCCCTAAACCCTAAACCCTGGTTTTGCAGGGGGGGGGGTGGCAAGGCAGCTGGAGGCCCTGGTCATCGAAGGAGGACCGTGGGTTTGGGACTTGGGGGGTTGAGGATTTAGGGAGTTTAGGGTTTAGGGTTTAGGGTTTAGGGTTTAGGGTTTAGGGTTTAGGGTAGGGCTTTGGGAATTAGGGGCTTTGGGGTTGAGGGTTTAGGGGTTTAGGGGTTGAGGATTTAGGGTTTAGGGATTTAGGAAGTTTGGGGTTTAGCATTTAGGGACTTTAGGGCTTAGGGATTTACGGACTTCGGGGACTTTGGGATTCAGGGTTTAGGGTTTGGGGATTTAGGGCTTAGGGCGTAGGGTTTAGGGTTTAGGGTTGGGCGTTAGGACGGGATTTTGGGGTTGACTTTCGGAGTTAGGATTCAAGGTTTCAGGTCTCAGGGTTTGGGGCTAAACTCCACCCTCTGGTAGTTCTGGGCTCGGCTCGCCCTGGCAATTTTGTGTGCCTTGGCCGTGACCTCAAAGGAATCGGAAGAATCATGAACAGCAGCAGAAGCCTTGTCTAGGAGTCCCTGACTTAACAAAGCGTTTGTTCATCAGAGCCTGCTTGCTGATCTGGTACCCGAAGGCTCATAAGGACTCATAGTCTCAGGCTTTTGGGCCCAAAGACCATACCATACAGGGCCTTTGGGCTATTTTGAGCCTTAGGGGTACTTAGTACTTGTACCTCATGCAAGCTTGAATCCCTCACGCGTGGAAAGAGGCAGGATGGACGGCGGCATTCCCAGTCTCGGCAGCCTCACACAGCTACGAGACTTCGTCTGCAAGATCCGAGCAGTAGGCTTTGCGGTTTAGGGTTTAGGGTTTAGGGTTTAGGGTTTGGGGTTTGGGGTTTAGAGTTTAGGTTTAGGGTTTAGGGTTTAGGGGATCGTTGGTCAATTCATTGATTATTACCATACTCATTGTATTTTTAGTATTAACCCACAACCCCCAAACCCCAAACCAGCGATCAGGGTTCTTTTTCGATCCCCGCAACTACCCGCCACTGGGCCTCGAGTACTCTCTATGGAGGGCCATACGGCCTTTATCAAAGGTAGGGTGTGGGGTTTAGGGCTTGGGTGGTCCTGGTTCAGGGCTTTGGAGGGCTCTTGGCTTCCCATCCTTTAATTCGAATGGATTTTCACAGTCTCTGGGATCATCTCAGTCAGACGCCCATAAGACCAGGTCGCTGCTGTAAGCTGCATACTTGTACTGGCTTAGTGCAGTGTTTAAGGCAATGGCTGGCTGACACCCGTCCCACAGCCTTAGCCCCTACACGCCAAGATCTATAGACCCCCACCTCTTGAACCACATGCGAAGCCCTCAAGGAGGCACGTCTCACGCCAAGTCCAGGAACCCCAAATCCATCGAACGCACAGCTTAGATCCCAATGCTAAACTCTAGCCGGGTTGAGGGTTTAGGTTGAGAAGTCTCGGAACCACATCAGCCTTCAGCCCCAACTCTTTAAAGCACCTCCCAGGCTCCCTAGCCATACCCGAGATCTTGACGAGTAAGGACTTCAGGGCCGTCAGCTCTAAAAACCCTAAAGCTCTGACAAGCCCAAAGCTCTGAAGCCTGAAAGCCTGGGTTTAGCGTTGAGGGTTTAGGGGTTAGGGTTTAGGGGTTAGGGTGTACCTATAGTCTCCATTGTAGTTCCTTTTTTTGGTGTAGCCAATTCTGTATTAAGGATCTTAGAAGGTAACCCCAAAAAGGGACTACAATGGAGACTATAGGTAGGGTCCGAAGAGAGCCAACACAAGGCCTAAAATCCTGGAACCTGCAGCCCCCTCAAGCCGCAACTTGCAGAAACTCTCGGAAGCTCCTCAGCCCGAAGCCCCATTAAAGCCCCAAAGCTCTGGATAAAAATCGAAGCCGAAAACAAATAATAAGCTTTTTCATCATCATACCATATCATATCATATTATAATTGATTGTTATATAATTATATTGTATTCTCTTCTAATTTATTCTGTACCCTTCGAGGAGCCGTGGCTTTCGTCGGTTCCTTTGTTGGCCTCTTTTACCTCGACTCGCTGCCGCCTGGCATCAGCGGCTTGCCTGCGATGGGGTTGCAAAACCCCCTTCACCGTAAAGACCAGATGAAACCTAAAAAGGCTTAAGGCTCATATATACCATCTTGGGACTCATAGTATTAGGATATAGGGCCTTACTTTAATATAAGGGTCATTTGGTCCTCAAGGTAGTTGATCCAAGGCTTCGACTTGAAAGGGCATCCTTGTTATAATCAATTTTGTATTCCTTATCGGGGGGGGGGCGGGGGTAAAAAGTAGAATCCTGGTTTTCTGCTGTAGCTCCCATGTACGTCAATGGGTGAAGGTACAGGGCGCTCCGGGTGCCTAAATCGAGCCCAAACCCTAAAACCTAAACAGCAAACCCCAAACCTTGTACACGGACCCCAAGCGTTCAACCCCAGACCTAAAAACCCGAAAAGCCCTAGACCGTAAACCGTACAAGCCCGATACACGCTATACACCCTAACCCCTAAGCCCCATCAACATCGCATGGTCTACCTTTACCTAATCTCGTAGTTTTAGGTACATCTAAGCCCAAGATTCGGAAGTTGAGTGGCAGGGGAAGTGACGCTTCGAAGTTCCAACCTGCCGCCTGGAATTTCTTTGCCTTCCACTGTTGGAGTTTGTATTTTCTTTATTTAGGGCGGCTTGGGATTTAGGGTTTTGCTGGAGCTGTAAGGTTTTAGGAGTCGGGGTTTATGGGTTTATTGGTGTCTGTGCTTTGTTGTGTTTGCAGGTTCACGGGCCACTTTGTTGTCGTTGCCTTCCGTGCTCCGCGGGTGCTTCAAGGCATGTTTGGGTACCCCCACGACCCTCAGGGCCCTAAATCTTACGGCCCAAAGGCAGAAAGGGTTGGTTCCCCGGACATCCTCTGACCTTAGAGGGGTTTATGTTGTGCAGTGACTTTCCGGGGTTGCACCTGCAATGATCTGATCGAATCCTTTATGTACAACTGTATATTCATAAGAACCATTCATTGAACAATCATAACAATAATAAGAGGAATAGTAACAATAGGAATGACAATAGCAAGAATAGGTATAGTAGGAGCCTGGATAGGAAATCGTTAGTCGGGATTGTCCTGTCGGCTTCGGTGCGTTTCTGCACAACTTGTCAACAACATGTGTGGAAGTTCTTACAGATCAGTTTTAGGATTTAGGGTTTAGGGCTTTAGGGTTTTTGGGTTTAGGTTTTAGGGTTTAGAGGGGGCATATGATCAGGCACCAGGCAGGATCCCACTCCAGTGTTCTCGTTCTACTTTTCATTTATGTAAACCGTAGACACCGGACAGGAAAACACATGTGTGCTTTGGTGTCAAGGTTATATGTGGCACTGTACACGTAGTTGTCTCTCTCTGCATATACTGCTGAGATTCTGCAGCTGAGCGGTCGCACCGTTCTTTGTGTCATCTCGTAGGCCTCACTGGACCATGACCGAATGGAGGCTTTCTTTACTACATCTCCCTTCACGGCAGCAGGTTGAAGAGCAGGGAATAGCAGACAAGGCTACATGTTCGAGCCTGCACAATTACCAGAGTCGTTCCTTCTTTTAGGTCCAAATGGGTTCTCGCGGTTGTGAAATTCGCAATTAAACTTCACTTAACCCTCAACCGTGAGATTTGAAGCCCTTGTCCCCCTGCTAACAGCCCCGAAATGGGAGTTTCCGAAAATAGGGGTACCTTCTTTTGGAGTCCCTTATAATAAGGATCCTATTGTTCAGGGTACTATATTAGGATCCCCTATTTTCGGAAATCCCCAAATGCTGCGCCAGCTCCCAAGCTGAGCCTGTGACAACGAGGAAGATCATATTTGCAACGCCGTGGGAAGGGCGACTTGGCCGCGAATGCTCTGAACGCCAGACCTACCGGTCCGCAGAAACCCTAAGCCCCTAAACCCTAAGCCCCCTAAACCCTAAACCTACATGTCTAGGGCTCCTGATTCCTAGGTGGTATTAGGGAGACTCCATCAAGGGGGCCCTTCTTAACCCTATTTCTGGCTCTCTTAAAGGGGGAGAGAGTCTGTATCCCCAAGGGTCCCCCGTAATCCTAACTCCTACTTCTTATGATTTGCTTAGAGAAGTCCTAGTTCAGGTTTCTCCAAGGCCCCTAGTACACAAACAATGCCTACTGGCTCCAGACCTCAAGGGCTTGACCTGAATCCCCAAAACCTTCGAGTCTATAGATAGGACCTACTTTCGCCGTTTGTTGCCCGGGTGGTTATCAGTGTGACGGGAAGTCGTGAAGGGAAGGGCGCCAAGCGATGACTACCAGTTAGAACAGCCTCACAGCAGTCATAAATTCTAAAATCTTTAAACCCAAACCCAGTTTCAAGCGACTTGTGTTTTGTTTGGGGGTGTCAGAACCCTAAAAACCCCAAACCCTAAACCCCTAAATCCCTAAGCCCCTAACCCCTAAACCCCTAAACCATAAACCCCAAACCCCTAAACCCCTAAACCCTAAACCCTAAACCCCAAACCCCTAAACCCTGAACCCTAAACCTAAACCCCAAACCCTACACCATTG